CCCCCCCCAGCCCCGGTGCGGACACGCCCACCTCCCCCTGCACGCCGGGCCACCCGCGCCTCGACCCCTCCCGCACTCACCCGAGCGCCCCGGGACAGCCTGCAGGACTCCGCCGTGCTCTCTGCACCGTGAATCGGCTCGTCCATCCCCATGTGGAAAGCTCTGGAAAACATCCTGCGCCCCCCCCTCCACCCCTTCCCGCAAAATCCCGAGTGTCAGGCCTCACTCTCTCCCAACGCCAGTTTCTAATCTTTCCGGAAGGCGCAAAGTTTCTCCGCGCTCAGCCCTGGCTGCAGGCGGCCACACAGAGTGGACTTTGCTCGAAGAAAGGCGGCTAAAGATTCTGCCTCGGATTTTTTTTTTATGTCCCCCAGACTCCAGACCAAAAACAACTGCTGCCTTCTGCAATCTTCGTTTTCCAGACCCAGGAATATACATTTCTCTTCCCCCTTCCCTCGCGGAATTAACTTTGCCAGGGCAAACCATCAATTTTCCCTAAGAGTAATGTAAGGGTGGGGACGGCACACCTGGAGGTGTGGGCGGGAGCTGCCTGCCGGCCCTACGCGAGGCCTTGGGGCGCTCAGCGGAGGGGGCCAGCTCCTGGAGCCCATCCTGGTGCTTTGAGAGCACCCAGCGGTGGGAGGAGGTGGGTCTCTGGCCATACCATCCTAACCACCCACCTCCCTCCTCTGGCTTGCCAGGGTGCCTGGAGTCATCCCAATTCTCTGCCTCCCGTGTGCCACCAGGGTTGCCTCATCAATTGTAGCTGCTTTGGGAACAAAAGCTTCATCAGCTCAGGCATGGAATGGCACAGGGCACTGCCCACGCCTCAGGACTGTTTCAGCCCACTGTGTCTCCGACAGCCAGGGAGTGCTGCTGTCTTGGTTGTAATCCTGGACTCTGAGGCTGAGGGCACCACCAACCCTGGAGCTAGAGTTGGAGGGGGGGGGTGTACCTTAAGGCTTCTTGCAGCAGATGGAAACTTCTCAAGCCACTGGTGAGTGACGGGTTGAAGGCATCATGATCATTTCACGCCATTCACTGCTGAGAACCTTGACCCAACTCAGGATGCTCAAAGCTGAGTCCTATTGATTATTTACTTCCCAAAGCTGAGTCCTGGCTATTGATCACTTACTTCCCAAAGCTGAGTCCTTTCTAAAACCATTGTTCTGGTTTCTTTTTGAAGATCAGCTTTTTAAAGACTCTGCTTTCTCTCTTTTCCTACCAATTTATGATTCTTTTCACAATAATTGACTTCAAATGTGAATCATTAATTTTTGATACATGCATAGTGCTATGTTTGTATACAGCCCTCAGAAATGCATATAAATGCACACACATATAAATATTAAAAAACATTCACTTACCTTGCAAATAAATATAAAATAAAATATAAATATAGAATCACTCCCTTATCTTACAAATAATGACAGGGGTTGAGCTTAAACTCTAAGGGATATTATATTAAGATGAATAGAAAAATGTTCAATATAAACCTTAAAAAGTATATATTGGTTATATGAAAAAGGCTTTTACTTTAACTAGAAAAGTCCCTTATTTGCTATTTTTCCCCATGCTTCACTTTTTTACATGCTTCATTTACTAGGTTTTTCAATATCAATACTTCTATGGCTAATGAAGAGAAAAAATGTTTTAAAATTATTTCCATGGTTAGCCTTTCCCCAACTATCAAAGACACAATGCAAATGTAATTTCTGCTTGAGTTTCGTTCTTCCTTTCCTTTCTTAATAGTACTGGATTTGAACTCAGAACCTTGTTCTTGTTGGGGAGGTGTTCCACCACTTGACCTACACTCCCAGCCCTTTTTGCTTTCATTAATTCTCAAATAGGGCCTCAATTTTCACCCAGACTGAGGTTCTCCTGTTTATATTTCCTGTGTAGCTGGAATGACAGCTGTGTATCACTTGAGATGGGGTCTCAAAACCTGGTCAGATAGGTTCAGATAGGGGCTCAACTTTTTGCCAGGGATAGCCTCAAAAGATGAAGCAAGTAGCTAGGATTACAGATGTGAGATTTTTAGCACTAGGCTTGAATATTTAAAAATATATTGATTTTTATGCCTTGTATTCCTAAGGAATGCAGTGGCTTCCACACCAGATACATTTTAACTACTATGCAGTCTTTTCTAGCTACAAGCAGGATCATCTGTCCTAACAGGGTATGAGTATTCAGGAATATGTTAGAGGATGTCAGTGTACCTAAATGGTAGAACTCTTGTCTAGCATGTCAAGGCCCTTGGTTCTTATCAGCACTGAAAGAAAGAGGAGGAAAGGAGGAGGAGGGAGAGGGGGAGGGAGAAAGGGAGGAGGGAAAGGAGAGTCAAGAAGAAAGAGAACATTATTTGCTGTGAAACATTTTATCTCTTATTTATTTTGCTCTGCCATGGCCTAAATGAACTGGAGAACACAAACTCAAAGGTCAGCCTGGCTAGACTTGTATTTCTGACAAGCATAGGCCTGTCTCAGGGAGACTGCCTCCACAGCTTGCTTTAGGTCAATAACTTTACAATCAAAAGTAGATCATTGTGTGTGCAGTATAAAAGGGGAAAATGAGATACAATACAAAACCTGCACACAGACTAACCCATCTACACTAGTGTCACGTTCTCAGTGAAGCTGCTTTCTAGTCTGTAAAAATGGGGCTACACCCATACAATCTAATTTATAGGGCTCCAGGTTGTCTTTATCAAAGTGAGATAAAGTATTTGAATAGGTTCCTTAAATCACTAACTGGAGGAAGTTATTTTAAGGGAAATAAAAAAGGGGACTCACCTTGATTCACTTGATTCATGTTTTCTCCTGTCCAGAATCTTCTTTTGGTCATTCAAATTTATTCCTTGAAGAGTCATCCTAATGTTTTCTGTCCTAAACTTTCTCTCCTGTTCTCTGCTAAGGTGCATTTCTCAAGATCTGTTTCTGTAAATAGTTTCAACAGAGCTAAAAAGCAATTGGTGTCATCAAGCATGAGAGAGAGAAAAAAATGTATATATATATATATGTGTGTGTGTCCAGAGAAAATGTTTGATGATGGACATACTAGCAGCATTTTTATATTCATATGTTAAAGAATACTATAGACTCTGTCAGATTATTGATATTAATCAGGAACATTTCCTTTGGATTGAAAAATTAGCTATCACTGCCTGTGGCACTATTATTTGTTCAAAAGGGTTTGCCAAGTCTCCCAATTCTCTTTTTCTTCCCTATGTTACCTTCCCTATGGCAAAAATAAAATAAAATAAACAATAAAAATTAAATAAAAAATAAACCTAGAGAGTAACCATCATCACAGAGATCAGTTGAAAACTTTCCCTCCGGTTTATTAAATAGAGATTGGTTCAAAAAATATTTTTGATATATTCAAAGAATATATTTTAGTGAGGCAATATGCTGAAAGAATTCAGTCTCCTAGAGAAAAGGTTTTCAATTTCCCCAGGTACAGGTTCTATCCTTCTTCAAGCTGGGTATTAGAATCTCCTGAGTTTCTCCCAGTGTTTAAAACCATTTTCCTTAGAAAACCTTTCTATTTTAAAAGGCCAAAGATAGTGGTGGGCAGGGCAGCCCAATTTAGACTTAAAAAGCAACATTAGAGAAGAAACCGCAAAGGAGACTGCAGAAACAGGGACTCAAAGTTAGAGCTACATGCACACCAGCCTGGCAGCTACCATGTGGTCAGGGCCCCAGTGAGCTGTTTCAGAAACAGGGACTGGGTACTCACCTTTGTGATCTCATATATTTGCATAAATAACGCAGGTAATGTTTGAAATAGACCAAGGGCTAACAAATCCTGTCTCTGCTGTCTCCTTTATCCAAGTAAAAAGGTTTAGCTCTGAAAGCAAGGAAAAGGAAAAGAATTTAGAAAAATAAATAAAAGTAATTGCAACCCCTCTGTACAGTATTTTCACAATAAAAAATAAAAATAATAAAAAAAGAAAAATGAATAAAATTATATATACAACTTGAACATTAAAAGTAGACCAAGATACAAAGAAATGATAGAAAGGTTGAACCAAACAAACTGCTAGGTGTTTTTTGCTCTGTTTTCTTTTGTTTTTGTGCCAGTCTTGGGGCTTGAACTCAGGGCCTGGGCACTGTCCCTGACCTTTTGTTGCTCAAGGCTAGCATTCTACCACTTGAGTCACAGCTCCATTTCTGGCTTTTTGGTGGTTGACTGAAGGTAAGAATCTTAAAAACTTTTCCTGCCTAGGCAGGCTTTAAACCATGAACTTCAGCTCTCAGCTTTTGAGTATCGCTAATTAGAGGCATAATCCACCAGCACTGAGGGAAATGCTAGTTTTATAAAAAATAAAATAAAATAAAACACTAGTAAAATAGATCAATTTCTATAAAGCCAACAGTGACAATAGAGAAAAGAAATAAGACTTTTTTTCAAGTGCTGGAGGTTTAGTAACCATGATCAGAGCCAGAGGGGGTGGGATCATACCAAGGATAGAAGAGTGGCCCTTTGGCAGGCTCAAGCCGGAAGGAGCTAGTTCTGCTTTTTAGGGTAGAAACTAAACCTTAGTGGACATAGATATTTTAAATAATAAGCAAGTATTATAAAACATATAGAATTTTTTAAATGATGAAGGTGAATGTAATTTAAACCATTATTGAATTTGAAAGTTGTATGGGTTTTTTATAGTTTTTTTTTTTTTTTTGGTGTTTTGAGATGGAGTCTTATTGTGTAACCCAGCCTGGAGGGCTTCTTTCCTCTGCTTCCCAAGTGCAGAGATTACAAGTTTGTATGACCCTGCTTAGCTTTTCTTTCTTTTTTTTTAAGACAATCTTGCTGTATTGTTCTTTTTTTGTATGTTTTTTATTATAAAAAATACTGTACAGAGGGGTTACAGTTACATGAACAAGGTAATGAGTACACTGGAACTCTCTGTTAGCTATCTTTGGTCTGGAGACTCACCTGTATTCAACTCTGACTACTAGGATTACAGTATGCCACCATTTCCATTTTACAAGCATTATTCTTAATGTTAATTCAATAGACACTTCCTTTTAAAGTTAATAAAACAAAAAATAGCTTTGGCCATATATACTCCACAGTTTAGTGAAGCCCTTGCCAACATAATAAAAGAAGAATAAAAAGAATCTACACAGTTTAAGAATTAAGAGAAAAGAAAAATATGATTTATGAAATGCAAGCAAATTTAATAAAGGATTATGTTCAATATAAGAACTTAGCAACATTCTTGAATAGAAGATCAATATGTAAAAAAAAAGTCCCAGCTTTTATTCTAAAAAAGTACTACTTACAATAGCAACATGTCATATCATAACTTGGGTAAAAGACTAGTGTCTGTGTGAAGAAAATTAGGCCATTTTATTAATATACATAATAAAAAGATACACCAAATTTGTGGGTGAAAAAATTCTGTATATAAAATACACTGGGAGGGCAGGGAAGGTAGCTCAGTGGTAGAGCGCTTGCCTTGCATGCCTGAGGCCCTGGGTTCAATTCCTCAGCACCACATAAGCAAAAAGAAAAAAGCCAGAAATGGCGCTGTGGCTTGAGTGGTAGAACACTAGCCTTGAGCTGAAGAGCTGAGGAACAGCACCCAGGCCCAGAGTTCAGGCCCCACAACTGGACAAAAAAAAAAACAAAAATAAATAAATAAATAAATAAAATAAAATACACTGGGGCAGAGTGCTTGCCTAGCATGCATGAAGCCCTGGGTTCCATTCCTCAATACCACATAAACAGAAAAGGCCACTGTGGCTCAAGTGGTAGCTAGCCTTGAGCAAAAGAAGCTCAGGGATAGTACCCAGGCCCTGAGTTCAAGCCCCAAGACTAGCAGGCAAACAAACAAACAACAAAAAACCACTAGGCCAGGTGCTGGTGGTTCACACCTGTAATCCTAGCTCCTCAGGAGTCTGAGGTCTGAGGATCATGGTTCATAGCCAGTCCAGACGAGAAAATCTGTGAGATTCTTCTCTCCACTTAACCACCAGAAAATGGAAGTGTTGCTGTGGCTTAAAGGGGTAGAGTGCTAGCCTTGAGCTGAAGAGCTCAGGGACAGCACACAAGCCCAGAGTTCAAGCCTAAGGACAAAAACAAACAAACATACAAAACAAAACACTGTACTTTGCATTGTAATAATTTCACAAACCTGGATAAAGTAACTCTAAAATCTATGTAGAAGGGGAGAGACTAGGAATAACCAAGGGAATTCTTTTTTTTTTTTTTTTTGCCAGTCCTGGGGTTTGAACTCAGGGTCTGGGCACTGTCCCTGAGTTTCTTTTGCTCAAGGCTAGCACTCTACCACTTGAGCCACAGCTCCACTGCCGGCTTTTTCTGTTTTTGTGGCACTGCATGCTAGGCAAGCACTCTACCACTAAAGGCAAGCACTCTACCACTAAGCCACATTCTCATTACTAGCCCAAGGGAATTCTTAAAGACTACAACTGGCTTGAGGACAAATAATATAATGAAAGGTTCAAAAGCAGAACTACATATAAGTGACCAATGACCAATGAGTTGATGAAAACTGATATGACAAACATGTTTCATTTAATGATGCTGAGATGATTGACACATATGTAGAAAAAAAATCAGATCCCTACCTCACACCATTTTAGGGGTTTTTAATGAGTTGAAAACGTTAATTTTTTAAGTAAAATTTTCACATATTTAGAATATCTGCATCCTTTCAGAACAGAGAAGAATTCTGTACACAATGTGCAAAAAATTATCTGTTCCTTTCTTTCATATAAAATATGACTTGTTGAAGAGTTTTTGTGAGATGTTGTAACCGACAGGTCGTCTGCCTCAAGTGATGCAATGAGTAATTGAAGGATTGTGAACAGTATTGTCCATTCTATACAAGAGTGAGGAAGAGACATTTTCTGCAATGTGTGATTTATTGTCATTCCTGTTGTTTTGCTTCCATGGCCCTTGATACCTTCCAGAACAAAGCAGAACAAGTAGGGGCTAATGTTCCTTCAGCAGGAGGCTCTGAATTTTCCCTTTGAGAAGGTAAGCAAAGTTATGAAACTGTTACACAGACATACAGAGTATTTATGTTCTGGAAGAGGCATCTAGCTATACTATATGTTCTGACCTACTTGGGCACTAACTAGTTTACATTCACTCACATTTTTAAAATGTAATCACCAGGGTTCCGCGGTGTTCTTTATCTGTGACTGTGTGGATCAGACAAAAGGATTCAAATGATCAACTCTCTACAGCATTAGAGAGCGTTAGCAAGCTAGGGAGATGTCAAACCTTTGCACACACTCCGCTGGATTAAGCACTGATTATATCTAAGCAAATGTCTCTGACAACCCTCCCCCCCCCACACACACATTTCTCTGCCAAGAGCAGAGAGAATAAATTCCAAAAGCAACACACACACATAAACATACACACACATACGTGGACACACATAGACTAGTCAGCAACATTTGAGAGCAAATTACTAATATACTCACAATACATGAAATTCTAAGTGCTGGTGGCTCACACATGTAATTCTATCTACTTAGGAGGTTGAGATTTGAGTATCAAGGCCCAAAGATAACCCAGGCCCATGAGAGTTTTATCTCCAATTAACCAGCAAAATGCTGGAAGTAAAAGTGTGGCTCAAGTCGTAGAGCACTATCAAGAACACAAGGCCCTGAGTTTGAGCCCCTGTACTGTCATGTGCATGCACACACACACACACACACACACACATGTACACCTACACACATGCACGTGCATATTTCGGAGATGCAGTGGGAGCAGAATAAAGGAAGAGGATAACAAATTAACCTTGATAAAATATGTTGGTGAGCTTAATATCTCTGATCTCTAAAAAAATGAAAGAGAGAAAGAAAAGAAGGGAGGGAAGGAAGGAGGGATAGGCAGAGAGAGAAAGGAAGGGAAGAAGGACAAGGAAGGAAGGAAGGAAGGAAGGAAGGAAGGAAGGAAGGAAAGAAGGAAGGAAGGAGGGAAGGAAGGAAAGGAAGAAGGAAGGAAGGAGGGAAGGAAGGAAGGAATTGAAAAGTATGAAAAATTATATTTACAGCACTTTAGAGGGACTTAAAGTTCTTGAAAGACTGACAGTGAAAATAAATAGACTTCTTTCCAGAGATAGCTCTGCACTGACTTGTAGAAATTTAGACTCAGAAAGCATGGACTTCACCCATTAGGGACAAGTTTTGGCAAGTACAAATTAAACTGAATATCATAATCAATTCCAAAATGAACTTGAATGAACATGATCCTCCCCTTCATAGCTCTTCAACCATAAAGGATAGATAAGAGATTGAATTCCTGTTCATTTCCATAGCAGGAATGCTGAGCCAGTCTTTATCAGCAATGACACCATTAGACAATGAATGACGTGGCCCTCAGGAAGGCTGGGCCTGGGCATGACCACATAGACCTGTATTTAGAAAGCTCATCTGTCTAGTGTTACTTTTGAATATCTAAGGTGCCAGGGATAGAGAATAACTCTGAACCCCTAGTAAGAACTAATCTTAAAGGAAACCAAATTGACCTGGTCAACTTGCCAAGTTTGGCTAGGTTGGGCTAGGTTGGGCTTCTTCCAACTTAGAAGGATTAACAGTTCATAGTCTGGATATATCATTACCTTTGGAATGTCTGATCCACAGGCCTAGAATCCTGAATAACATACAACCCAGGGCATTGTTTATAGGGAAATAAAGTCCATGTGATCTCAGCATATTCTCTACCATTCTGAAGCTTTCTGCTGAGAGATGGACCAACTTGGAGAAGGCAAGGGTGGGAACTACCTTTCAGGATATAATATTTGCACTGGGCCAGAGACTTTCATATAGTATTGTGTCTTCAACGAGGGGAAAAAAGGACAC